GATGTTTCTTTACGGAGTTATGCATGATCAACGAAAATTTTAAGGGGTGGTCGGAGACTTTTGGTCACCCACTGTACTCCAACTTTGAAACCTTTCAACCCAACGTTGAGGCGTTTTATGACAAACCAGCCAGTAACTTTGTAAAGCATGTCGCGATAAACATACTTACTGGCTGATTTTCTAAAAAGACGCCTCTACGCTGAGCTGAAAGATTTTAAAGACAGGTGGTTTTATTGTCGAGTATAGAGTTGGTGCACCATAATAAAAGAGATGATAAGCTTTTTAACAAATCTGAAATTGTTTCATAATTGTTGAGTTACACCATTTTTTCTGAAGGCAATTATTTTCGTTACACACTGTATATTGATTTAAAATATACACTTTAATAAAAAAATCAATTGTCACCCTTCAACGTTTTCAAATCCAAAATATCAGCTCAATATTGATTATGATATCTAAACCGCTGGCACAATTTTCAGTTACCATATAATAGTAACGGTAGCAGTAATAGTATGCTAGCTTAAACAGAGTTTTAACTATTTTTTTAGCATACCAACCTTTTACAAAACAATTATAGCCTAACAGTAACGGTTGATTGTAAACAACATATAACCTTTATTAGCAATGCTAAAATACTAATACATTATAGAAGCAGATTATCCGAATGAGACTAATAAATATAAATCAATAAAATCTACTACTATTAGTATTAGCCAGAAATAAGATACAAAAAAATCAAGAATATATAATCAAATTTAGACAAGTATAATTAATAAAAAACACAAGCTACCATTAAAGATAAAACAACAAATTCAGTGACAAACGATTGGATAGATTTCTAAAACTTTATATATCTGCATTTTGTTACACTACAACAAAAACAGCTTTTTACGCCTTTTTTCTTTTTGTATCACTTTTAAGGAATTCTTTGCAATAGTATTTCCTTGTTCAGCAGCTTTTTTGTACAACTCTGCTGCCTTTTGTTCATCTTTTTCAACTCCAATCCCAAACTGATAGCAATAGCCAAGATTATATTGTGCATTAGCATTTTCTTGTTCAGCAGCTTCTGTATACAGTTCTACTGCCACATGTTCATCTTTTCCAAGTCCAATTCCAAACTGATGACACCAACCAAGATTATTTTGTGCACAAGCATTTCCTTGCTCAACAGCTTTGGTATACAATTCTAGTGTTTTTTGAATATTTTTTTCAATTCCAATCCCGAGCTGGTAGCAGCAACCAAGATTATATTGTGCCATGGAATTTCCATGTTCAGCAGCCTTTTTATACAATTCAACTGCCTTTTGTTCATCTTTATCCACCCCACTTCCAAACTGATAACAATAACCAAGATTATTTTGTGCAAAAGCCTTTATATATTCAATTCCTTGCTCAACTGCAAGTATTCCTTGTCCAACTACCCCTTGACTAATCGCATTTCTGTACAGTTCTACTGCCTTTTGTTCATCTTTGTCCACTCCAATTCCATACTGATAGCAATAACCAAGATTATTTTGTGCCATGACATATCCCTTGTTAACTGCCTTTTTATATAGTTCAACTGCCTTTAGTCTGTCTTCATTGACTCCTATTCCAAATTGATAACACCAGCCAAGGCTGTTTTGTCCCTTAGCATATTCTTGGTCAGCAGCTTTTTGATACCATTCAACTGCCTTCTGATCATCTTTTTCCACTCCAAATCCATTTTTATAACAGCAACCAAGATTAAATTGTGCTTGAGCATATCCTTTTTCAGCAGCTTTTTGATACCATTCGACTGCCCTTCGTTTACTTTTTTCTACTCCAGTTCCAAAAGAATAACAGTCACCAAGATTAAATTGTGCTTGAGCATTACCATGTTCAGCTGCTTTTTGATACCATTCAACTGCACTTCGTTCATCTTTTTCTACTCCAGTTCCAAAGTAATAACACCAACCAAGATTAAATTGTGCATTAGCATTACCTTGTTCAGCAGCTTTTTGGTACCATTCAACAGCCCTCAATTTATCTTTTTTTACTCCAATTCCAAAAGAATAGCAGTAACCAAGATCACATTGTGCATTAGCATATCCTTGTTCAGCAGCTTTTTGATACCATTCAACTGCCTTTTGTTTATCTTTTTCTACTCCAATTCCAAAAAAATAACAGCCACCAAGATTTAATTCTGCTTTTGCATATCCTTGGTCAGCTGCTTTTTGATACCATTCAACTGCGCTTCGTTCATCTTTTTCTACTCCGATTCCAAAAAAATAACAGCCACCAAGATTTAATTCTGCTTTTGCATATCTTTGTTCAGCAGCTTTTTTATACCACTCAACTGCCTTTCGTTCATCTTTTTCTACTCCAGTTCCATTGGCATAGCACATACCAAGATTACATTGTGCTTGAGCATTTCCTTGTTCAGCAGCTTTTTGATACCATTCAATTGCCTTTTGTTCATCTTTTTCTACTTCAATTCCACAATGACTGAGACTAGCTTTTAGATCCATGTTTACTTGTTGCTATCTATCGTATTCTCTTTTACTTTATTATTAAATGGTATGTCATACATATCACATATCTTAATCCGATTGTTGTTGATGCGCTTCATTGTGATATTACCTCTTTTGGTAATTCATTAAAAATCATCAGAATGTTACTCCGCATTCTACATTGGCAAGAGTTCTGTTCAAACAATCAGACCCCTTGGCTTTATGGAAAATAATATCTGTGAGTGCAATGAGTATACAAGCAAACTTCTGATATAGTAAACTTGGTATTATAGTCAAAAAACCTCGGATACAAAGACAATATTATTAATATGATATTAAACTTTTCCTCGATAAAATGAAGTTGTATCACCTGACAAATTTTGACCAATCATATACGAACATTTGTCAAAGAACGCCTCGAGCGTTTCAGACATGTTTATTCACAAACCCGAATTTTAGAGAGTGATATATCGAGTGATTAAAGTATCGAAGTACAAAGTGAGCGACAATACATATTGACGGGCTCTTCACACCTCAAAGCGGGATAACTAAACGTTAGCAAGTGGGGCGGGTGGACGCTTTATTAATCCGAACTTATAATCCAACATTCCTCTGTTTCCATCCACACTACTAACAATCCCCATTTCTATTGTTTGCCTTCATGCATTATTTTTAATCAGTTGTTACCCGATCCATTATACAATTTTAAACAGACTCTCTCCTCAGCGGATGCTCGCACTTCCATCGATCCAGCCATTGATGGAGTGTACGACGCTGAGAGACAACTATGGTGCCTCGTGAAGGAATCTGGCTTAGGTGAAATGTTTTTTCTTAAGGAAGTTGAAGAGAGAATGGTAGGAAGGAGATAGTTGACGTCCCATTGAGAAAAGTAGAGGATTGAATGTAATAACCAGATTATTCTAATAGGATCATTGGCAAATAGCCAGATTATTTCACATATAATGGTCATTAGCTACTAGCCAAAATTGTATTAACATCCCGATCTCATTGACGGTAATCGTCACTGTTCTACAAGACCATGTAGAATGACCGATATCTGTGTTGTATTAATCATTGATATTTCTTTATGGAACGTTTAATGCGCACTCTTATGTTATTTGTTATAGTTTGTTATTATTAAAGACGAATAAACAACTATTTTTTTAATCCTTCATGTGTTTAGAATAACTACATCAAATTATTGTTATTAAAAGAAGCATCATCGCTGTGCAGTGTATGATAATCAGAAACGTTTATGGATTATCACATCGCAAAAATCAAAATGGGTCAACTCTTAGAAAGAGTACAACAGGAACACGTTAATCTACTTCGACTCGACTGGCGTGCGTTCGAACAAAAATATCACTTACTAAAAGCAAGAGTTAAATTCTAAACTTTGCAAGTTTGTAATTAATTTATTTTATGTTACAGAGTAGTTCTGAATAAGAAAAACCAAAATTAATCGAGTTTTAGGGGAGTCGCGTATTACGTTTCACTTAACTTGCACTATTGATCACATCAAATTTGCAGGTTAGTATTAGCATATATTGTCAGACGTATAACGTCTTGAATTGCAGTTTCGCATATACTGTATAATATATATTAATTTAAAAATATACGCTTATAAAAAAATTAGTCGTCACCCTTTCAACGTTTTCAAACCCGAAATATCAGCTCAATATTGATATATAAACCGCTGGCACAATTTTCGGCTACCATATAATAGTAATGGTAACAGTAATAGTAATAGTAATAGTAATAGTAATAGTAATAGTAATAGTAAGCTAGCTTAAACAGAGTTTTTTAGCATACCAACATTTACAGCCTAACAATAATGGTTGATTGTAAACAACATATAATCTTTATTAGCAATACAAAATTTGCTGAACTTTTCTAATACTATGCATTATAGAAGCAGATTATCCAAGTGAGACTAATAAACCAATAAAATCTACTATTATTAACATTAGCCAGAATAAGATACACAAAGATCAAGAGATATCTAATCAAATTTAATCAATAAAAAACATAAGCTACCATTAAAGATAAACAACAATTCAGTGACAAACGATTGGATAGATTCTAAAACTTTATATATCTGCATTTTGTTACACTACAACAAAAACAGCTTTTTATGCCTTTTTCCTTTTTGCATCTCTTGTACGGAATTCTTTGCAATAGTATTTCCTTGTTTAGCAGCTTTTCTGTACAATTCTGCTGCCTTTTGTTCATCTTTTTCAACTCTAATCCCAAAATGATAGCAATAGCCAAGATTATGTTGTGCATTAGCATTTTCTTGTTCAGCAGCTTCTGTGTACAGTTCTACTGCCACCTGTTCATCTTTTCCAAGTCCAATTCCAAATTGATAACACCAATATTGTTTTGTGCATCAACATTTCCTTGCTCAACAGCTTTGGTATACAATTCTAGTGCTTTTTGAAGATTTTTTCAATTCCAATCCCGAGTTGGTAGCAGCAACCAAGATTATATTGTGCCATGGAATTTCCTTGTTCAGCCGCCTTTTTATACAATTCAACTGCCTTTTGTTCATCTTTATCCACCCCACTTCCAAACTGATAACAATAACCAAGATTATTTTGTGCAAAAGCCTTTATATATTCATTCAATTCCTTGCTCAACTGCAAGTATTCCTTGTCCAACTACCCCTTGACTAATTGCATTTCTGTACAGTTCTACTGCCTTTTGTTCATCTTTGTCCACTCCAATTCCATGCTGATAGCAATAACCAAGACTATTTTGTGCCATGGCATATCCATTGTTAATTGCCTTGTTATATAGTTCAACTGCCTTTTGTCTGTCTTCATTGACTCCTATTCCAAATTGATAACACCAGCCAAGGCTATTTTGTCCCTTAGAAATTCCTTGGTCAGCAGCTTTTTGATACCATTCAACTGCCTTCTGATTATCTTTTTCTACTCCAGTTCCCTTGGTATAACACACACCAAGATCATTTTGTGCATTAGCATATCCTTGTTCAGCAGCTTTTTGATACCATTCAACTGCCCTTTGTTCATCTTTTTCTACTCCAGTTCCATGCCTATAACACACACCAAGATTATTTTGTGCTTTTGCATATCCTTGTTCGGCAGCTTTTTGATACCATTCGACTGCCCTTTGTTCATCTTTTTCTACTCCAGTTCCATGCTTATAACACACACCAAGATCATATTGTGCTTGAGCAAGCCCTTGTTCAGCAGCTTTTTGATACCATTCAACTGCCTTTTGTTCATCTTTTTCTACTCCAGTTTCATATTGATAACACCAACCAAGATTGTATTGTGCTTTTGCATATCCTTGTTCAGCTGCTTTTTGATATAATTCTACTGCCCTTTGTTCATCTTTTTCTACTCCAGTTCCATGCCAATAACACCAACCAAGATTATATTGTGCGCCAGCAATTTCTTGTTCAGCAGCTTCTTGATACCATTCAACTGCCTTTTGTTCATCTTTTTCTACTCCTGTTCCATATTGATAACACCAACCAAGATTACATTGTGCTCGAGCATATCCTTTTTCAGCAGCTTTTTGATACCATTCAACTGCCTTTTGATCATCTTTTTCTACTCCAGTTCCACATTGATAACACCAACCAAGATTACATTGTGCTTGAGCATCTCCTTGTTCAGCAGCTTTTTGATACCATTCAACTGCCTTTTGATCATCTTTATCAACTTCAATTCCACAATGACTGAGACTAGCTTTTAGAGCCATGTTTACTTGTTGCTATTTATCGTATTCTCTTTATTATTATGTAGAATTAACTATTATGTCATACATATCACATATCTTAATCCGATTGTTGTTGATGCGCTTCATTGTGATACTACCTCTTTTTGGTAATTCATTGAAAATCATCGAAAATGCTACTCTGCATTCTACATTGGCAAGAGCTCTGTTCCAAACGATCAGACCCCTTGGCTTTATGGAAAAGATAATATCTGTGAGTGCAAAGCGAACTTCTGATATAGCAAACTTGGCATTATAGTCAAGAATCCTCTGATACAAAGACAGTATCATTAATTAATATTAAACTTTTCCTCGATAAAATGGAGTTGTATCACCTAATAAATTTTGATACCGATATAATACAAACATTTGTCAAAGAACGCTTCGGAGAAAACGGTGCGTTTCAGACATGTCTGCTCACAAACCCGAATTTTAGAAAGTTACATCGAGTGATTAAAGTATTGAAGTACAATATGAGCGATGATTACATATTTCGCGAGATAACTAAACGCTAGCAGGTGGGGTGGGAGTGGAAGCGTGTAAGATATCGTTAATATTAATCAGAACTTAGGCCTGACTTCGGATCCTAATTTGTATTGTTTTGATTTTGAATGCTTTCTTTCTCGATTTAAAAATACATAAATAGGAGCTAGTCCAAAAAAGCAATAATTGTGTGAATAGCACTGTCAAAAGCACAATGATGTCACCATAATGTCCATGCAAAAAAGTGCCGAGACTCTTAGGAAGTTTTCGATACCATCACCAATACTATTGACATTAAGTAATATAAGAACTAGCGATGTTGAGATACGCTTTGTAGAGTTTGTGTTAGTTTGGTATTCATTGTCTGGGAAATTTTAGGGTTGACGTGTTTCGTTGTTGGAATGTTTGAATGGAGGTAGTATTTTGTTTCGATGTGTTTGGCTTTAGTTCGCGGGTTATACAAGGGCAACGGTAGCTTTGTTTTAATTGTAAACAGTTATGCATCCAAAGCCTGTTCGAATGTTAATGTTAGTATATTAAATTAATGATATATCAATGGGTTATATTATGTGCGACCTGTTTATTGGTTCCATTTACTATCTTATCATGTTAAGTAATGATGCATGTTTAGGCAACGCATGTTTCCGATGTGTGAGGGCGTGGTTAAAGGACTGAATAGCTTGTGGAGTAATTGCTTACGTGTGGGGAGGTAATTGCTGTTGAAAAGAATCCGTAAAATATTGTATGATGGAATGGACAAAGTCTATAATGTATTCGTATAAACTTTGTGTAAACAATAGTATTATATAATATTTGACGTTTATTAAGCAGGAAATGACTGATATAAATATAGCTTTACAATATTTGCATGAGTGATTATTGTGTGTACGTATCATTGAGATTGGAAAAGAATTAGTATACAAATTTGGTGATACTGGTTTTTACGTTATCTAAACAGGCAGACCATTTAATCTTATTTACAGTAGTTACTGTAATATGAATAATGGGTTGTTGAATAGAACAGTACATATTTCGTTGGGAAATTTTCAAACTCTAGAGTTAGGGCGGTAAATTTATGTTAACGTTTATTTGAATTTAACTTAGTATTAATCGCAAACAGAGCAATCCAGTTTGTCTCTAGTTAGTATATGCGAAATTATTTTTACATGACAAATGAAAATGGTTATTTAGGACAAACATATGGAGGTAAAAGAATTAGTCATCAGTGGCTGTATCGATGTGAAGTAAGCGACAAAGAGACTGGTGTACATAAGAAAAGGACAAGTTTACATTAGCTGAAGCTGAGTCAACAAATAAAAAAATGTGGGTTCAATCTTTACACTATGTTAAGTAAATTGGTTACAACTGCGAACCTTTCTCATTTAATTTCTTCGCTTTATATTCACCACATATTGCCAGTTCTAGGCATTTCGGATTATTTATCCTATAATGTCAGGAAGTGTGACAAAATTTTGCTATCATGAAATGGCAAAGTCAGCTTTGCGCAAAGAAACTAGAAACTATTGTGCATAATTTACTGGTAATGTTCGAATTAAAATTTGATTTGTTTTTTTAATTTGATTTCCGTAAACGCCTATATAATTTTTGATACAAAAATCGCGTAATGAAGATTTATTAGTGCTTATTGGGTCTACCATGTTGTCATCAAAAAAACCAATTCAACGGATTTCATGTTCCAGTAACATTTCGAAGTGGTGAATACATTTTCAACGCAAGAGAATAGCAGTCTTTGTTTATAAGTAAAGAGCAGTTTATACAAGCAATGTACAACTGTGATGAGGTACACTACTGGAAAAAGTTTAGCAAGTGACCAAGCGATTATCGAATGCATTTCTGTGATGGCTAAAGATAGTCTCCTAAACATCAAGTTTAAAAATTGGGCACTTGAAGTAACGAAGCATAATGGTTCGATTTAATACAATATTAAAGTAGCATTGTGGACCTTTGTTTTAATTTTTTTCTTTACAGATACAAGTTTGAAGACAGTTAGTGCCGTTAGCTGTAAGCAAGTGGAAGTAACGGTATTTAATGTCCTTATTGGGTTCAACTTATACAACGCATAGTCAAGCAATTTGTCATCAATCGTTGGTCGATTTACTATTTTGTCATAAATTGTCTCTTTGGGATCGAACAACCCAAAGTTTATTTTCAATTTCGAGTATCATCTGTCTCAATGCCAAGTTCTCATTATGCGATACATATGTTGTTTTGCAAACATCTACATAGCATTTTACATCAACGTCACTTCTTCTTCAATGTAACCAGAAACACGTATTTGTTGTTAATGTCCAGACATAGTAAAGCAAGCATTGAAGAGCCATATTTTCGAAAAGACCACAGTAAATGTCGAAAAAAAAGCAATTGTCTTCAACAGAGCGTGACAAATCCGCAAAAAAAAAAACCCTTGAGTTATGTCTGTGATTCAAAGTCGCCAATAACGTATGGTAAAGAACAAGTTTTTAAAATATACTAATTAAAAGATGGTATAATAAAATGTTTATTTTTCAGTGCAAAATAGTACATATTGCTGTGTCCGAAAGCTACAGTAACAACTAATTACTCAGTTGCCATAATTTTACAGATCAAAATATATATTATTATTTGCTGTTACAGGCAAACCTTATTCTTTTAACAAGAATCCATCCAGCCTTAGGTGTTTATCTCTGCTTTCTAAAGAGGCTTGTCAATTGCTGAATTATGCATATACTGATCCTGGAACTAAAATGCAAAATAAGAAAGCTCTAATACCATGTTTGCGTTAATTGCGAGCAAGAATGATGATAATTACGCTTGAATTAACCAATCATCGGTCGCATTAATAGCTTATTAAGCAGACGGTGGTGCTAATTCTGCATATCAATAGATGGAGACAAAGTCCAGGAATAACAAACTTGTAAATACTATAAATTTGAATTTATCAAATAAAGGTTTTTTTTGTTTTTTTTTTTTTTTTTGCACTAATACTAAATTGAGTCACAGCTACTGTTTAATAAAATATTATAAAGATTACCATTACGTAAAACTTATAATAAACAAGCTAATTTTTTATTTTCGTGTGCGACTGGTTTAAGTCAAATCTTATGGGTTTCTTTCAAAAGTAACATAGCAAGTGTAAATGTCTTTATACAATAAGCACTTGTGGCAAAAATTAATATAGTAGTAGATAACTGCCAGTGTCGAAGATTAGGAAAAATAGCGTGAATTTTGCTAATTACCTTCAACTACTCACAGAACGGTTTATTCAATGAGGTGCGTCGTATAGTATAGTATTGACAAATTCTAAACGTTGATTCGTAAGCCGTATATTGATTATCAAATTATTCGACAAATTGTGCAGATACAGACAGAAACCACAGGTTGTATGGTTGAATCCTTTGGCAAAACCACACATCAGTCGTCAAATTGTATGATTAACACAAACTTGTTTGATAACTCAACTCATCAAGCAATAAATAATGCGTAATAACAATGACGATTCATTTTCGGGGGTTTTCTTTGGGAGGATTTTCAGTTATCCCTAATACATCTTCCAATCCTAGTGAACAATGCATTACTGTTGTACCATTCTGTTTATTAATTAAACCAAATCCTCTGCAAGGGTTTGGTAGTAGATCGAAAAGCGCAGATCTATTAATTTTCCGATCTGTCCGTACTTTAGCCCAAATTTGGTTGACAAGTTGGTAGGTAGATGTGTGTGTCGCACCATTTTAAGCTTAAATCTAGATGGTTAAGTCTTGAATATCATTTTCCAGACGGAAAGTTTTACTAACGTATTCTGTAACTCAAAGCATTTCTGGATTTACCAAATTAGATGTAGTTGTAAGACTAAGCTAGTCGTTCAACGGCTCGATGTGCTTGTGCAAAGCTGCTGTCATTTGTAACTTAAACTGCCCACCCTCATGATTGTCAATGCAATAATGTTAATTAGGTACATCGTTCTGTGTATTATAAAGTGTTTATATGCGGTAGAGTTAATATCGTAATGTCAATAAAATAAGTTTATGTGTTGTTACCTGATGATTTCAATCTGACATATGTCCATTCCGAACGGACATAAATTCCAAACTGACACACAACAGTACAATGCGAATTTTTTGTAGTTATTGGCAACTGCAATAAGCGTCATATTCTAGCGGATCATCTAACAGATAATACGACATCGTCGTTCGTGAAATAAAATCGCATGTTCGCTTTTTAATACAATGCTAACATGATTAGCAAATTGCAATAAGCGTAATCGTTCTAGCGGATAATCTGACCAAGTGGTACGACATTTAGTGTTTGTGGAATAAATATAAATTGTACTAACATGTCTGTTAATGAATGAGATGAAAATAAATTTTAAAGCATAGTGTATTATATAAAATCGGCCCCTATTTTATGCATAAAACTAACGAATAAGGTACATCGATGTCCTATTATTAGGGAAACTCACTATCGTATCTTCTCACGGATAAGCACCCCCCCCCTTGATTATCATTATATGGATGCCGATCATTTTCATGAGGGGAGTGTGTGCTTATTCACAAGGATACAGCAAACCATTATCACACATGATCAGATAAACAAAGAGTAAATAGCGTTCAAGTAGCGTTTAACTTCATCACATGAATAAACATGTACAAAGGTAAACATCATACAAACGAAAATGTAAATGTTGTTTCTAAAATACGCCCAAATGCAACTTTGGTAATGTTACGAGAAACTCTAGTAAACCTTTTTAATTTTGATTTAGCTTGTAGGTGTAATTTCATTATTATTCAAAGACTTGGCATAATTACTTGAAAAGTGTTTGAAGAAATAACTTTCAAAATGTTCAACTACGGCAGCTTTTCTCCATAACAAAAATTAAGAGATTTACAAATTATAATTATGGTATATGATAACTTAATTTGCGATAATAGTATGATTTCCTGAAGACTTTATCAAACTCCGACGACAGATCTAATTTATAATTAACATTTTATCTGAGTATTTAACGGTATGGTAGATTCATTATTCTGTAGACAGAGATCTTTTTCCTGACCAAAATTGTTGGATAGCAGTACCGTTTGTTTGTTTAATTTTTGCACGCAGTTAAATTACAACCATTAGTATTTCGATATTCTGGGCCGGCTGGTTATGTGATTTAATCAAACATAGATTTATTTACCAAATACAGCAAGTACTTGGTAAAATTGAATTATTAACTAATAATATATTATTATTATTATTTGTCTGCACTAATTCTATGTGCTGCTAACAGTCAATAAGTAACATTGAACTAATTTAAGGTAAAAGAACCAACAGCAAACAAAATTAAGTAAAAAGTTTGCACAAACAGTTTTAAATATTTTATGTTCGTGTAAACGTCTTAGTATATTTAACTTTTATGAGAAAAGCTAAGATAATTATGTCGGAAAGAGTCAATATCAAAAATGCCTCGCTTACACTGTACTTTGCTTACGCTGTCAGGAACGGTCAACTCAAAGAAAGCTCTACGATCATTGAATACCATGGGCTAAAATTGTAGGGGGAAAAAAACTCAGTTAAACATTTGTTGTTGCGAACAAGCATTAATTTACTTACTACTTTACCTGACTAGTAGCGTTAACCACAACAGGAGGCTTGCATTTGAATATTGCATCAACTTTTTCTACAAAAGAGAAGTTTAATGGTATTTCAGCTTTCATAAACATGCCGATTAACGCAAAAGAGACGAAAATAAATTGTAATGTAACAAAAAAGGTCTTTAACGTACCATCATCCGAATATCCGTTGCCATACCACACGCTTTCCGCAATATATTTATTAGGATTGCCTTTGACCGGATGAATAAGGACTGGTGCAGGCAAAACCTCGTGAGTTGGCAGTCGTTTGGCGACGGTACAAACAGCCAAGAGGAGAAGAGAAAATATAATGGTGTGTGTAAGTTTCATTTTTTTTTTGTTACTTCAAAGATTGCGAAATTCTTTCTACAAGCATTTCAAATGCGCGTTTGGAAAGATTTATATAAACAATTACGAGAGTGATGATCAGGTCTTCAAAAGCTTAGCTGGCATGTGGTTACATTGCATTGCTTTGTTTGTGATACACATGAGTAGCTGATTCGCAATCATTGTAGGGTGTATGGAGATGAGTGCTCTCGCTTTGGAGGTATTGTTTTGGTTTTACCAATATTAGAAAACCCGAAATGATTAAATTTAATTTTACTTTGAAAAGGGGGTTCATTTAATCAATGAATAAAACTAAATAATGAGTGTGAACTAAAATTAGACAAATTTAAATTTTGCGGAATTAAACCGCAAAGTTACAAGGAGAGTTCGGTGCGGCCAGACGACGAAACAAGGATCCAGGCAGTTGTAATAATAATGCAGCTTGCAGATTTAGTTTACCGGAATTGTACATTACGACGACTGATTTTGGGCTTGCCGATCGTTTGTGATACATTAGAATCACACCCGATTTTGGACTTGCCCGATAGTTTGATTGAATTGGACAAAAACCTTAAAGTTAATTCACATTCTAATATGCAATTACGACAGAACTTTGTGCAAGTATTAAGTTGAGTAAATTTTCCGAGTCGCAATACTATTAACTAAAGTAAATCTGCAAACAATCAGGAAGCGCGCATCATCTGACGGTTGCAGTGGCATTTCGGCATTATTATTTACAACCATTTCGCCGTCTGTCGGAACTTTCCTTGCAAAGTTTGTGATTTTAATTTTAAATTTGTCCAAGTTTAATTCGCAATAACCATTTAGCCATTAAATTAATCATTCCGGGTTTTCTAATATTAGTAAAACAAACGATAGATCCAAAGCGTGCTTTGTGGCACGCGCTCTTTTCCTTGCCCGTTTTTTGACACTGCAATGATTGCGAACGGTTCAAGCTAACCTATGTGGATCACAAACGATCTATTTATTACCCCATTGTACCACAATGTCCCGTTAAACGAATATCCGATGCATAGACACACCGATATAAGCAATGTAACAACATGCCAGCTAAGCTTTTGAAGATCTGATCATCACTCTCGTAATTGTTTATATAAATCTTTCCAAACATGCGTTTGAAATGCTTGTAGAAAGAATTTCACAATCTTTGAAGTAACAAAAAAAAAATGAAATTTACACACACCATTATATTTTCTCTTCTCCTCTTGGCTGTTTGTACTGCTGCCAAACCACGAGCAAAGATAGTGGACTATATACCTGCTACTGAAATTCTGCCTTTGCCAGTCTCTGTTGAAACGGTCGATGACAAGCCTAATGAATACATTGTGAAAACCTCGTTGTATGCTAACGGCTATGACCATTATGGTACGTTAAATATTTGAATAACATAATGTTTCCTGTATGGGGAATATCGTAATGCTTATAAAAACCTTTTGATAGGCGGTGTTGAGACCAAACTCTTATGCGAAAGTGGTGTAAAGGTCAAACATGTTATTCCAAAGGTAGTAAATAATAACAAAATCAATTACATTGCTTTATAATAATTCTAAAACACAAAATTTTACAATTATACTAATTTTGCGCTTTAAAATTGACCCTTTTTCAAACAGTTTAAACTTAATGAAATTGACGCCTTCAGAACCGACTTTAAATTGTCTGTTCCTGAAGACAAGAAAATAGTGACTTGTGTTAGACAAGTGATTAACGAAGAGGGTGCTAGAAATATTTCTTTCACTTTTAATCCTGTACACTAAAACATTGGTTTAACAATGCGTTTAATTTAAATTAATTAGTCTGTTGTATTGAGTATTTTAAGTAATTGCTCGATAATATTAATAGTTATTAACAAATATTGATATAGACTTGTGTTGCATCTAAATATTTTATTATTATTGCAAGTAAAGACCAGACATTTGTCTTTGAGTTTTTAATTAGTAATTGACTATAAACAAACTCTATTTAGTAATATCGCTATTAACAAATCTGAATCTTTTTTCTGGTAACTAACGTGTGTTAAATCACTCTGAGATCAGCTAGTGCAAAAGGCATCAAGTGCCTCAATTCTAAATATTGTAATACTTTATAATGTGCCGTTATTGGGATGCCTTGCATTAGCCCATTGTCTATTGACTGATTAGAACATATAATATTTAGTAAAAAGTTTAGCGTACTAATACATTGGTTTAATAATATTTATATCGGTTGATCGGTCTACAACCTGTGGCATATTTTCTGCAAAGAATTGCCCGAGCAAGAACGGCTTGTACGTTTTGAGTCATTAAAATGCTATTTACTAATACTGTAACTATACAAAATCTTACTTATCTCTATCTCCGGAATATGCTTGTCAAGTATTTCAAACTAGTAGCTGTTGGGAGATCTTTATGTTTCAGGCTGCATTCATCTAGCCATTCATAACATGTGAAATTCAACATATGTTCTAGCTATCAGTGGCATGATGCGTTATTTAAGTACAGTATATTATAGCAGTTTTCAAAATTATAGAAATTCCTGATCTACGAAGATTTTCGAAAATTGCAATTGACTAATCAAATGCTATTTAATATTATCAAGTGAGCGCGCCGTTTCGATCATGATACTCAATAAACTCTGACAATATACTGTCTATTGCCTTATGTTACGTTTGCCAACTCTGTTTATTATGTAAAACTGATAACTCTTTTGAGACTTGTACTTGTGAAAAAAAAAACAACGTAATAGTAAGTTACAAATAATGGCCGTATTTATTTCTACAGACAAAGAAATATTTATTTAATTACCAGTTGCCAAGCCCTCTATTTTTCAATGCAAGTGTATTGTCCGGTTCAGTCTCAAGAGCCTTGTCCGTGCATCCTCCCTCAAAGCCCGTCAAAATTGACAAGTGGCTCTTCACATCTGTTCAGCACTTTGAACACTTCTCCTTTGCTTGCTCGAGTTCGATAGCCTTGCTTTCGACGAGTGCGCCTTCGAATTTGCTCAACATGTAGTAAACACGACCGCGATTAAATTTTATTTCTAGAGCGGTGTCCAGATCTTTGTAGAATGCCATCATGTAATACACTTTGCCGCGTGTGCTGAGCGTAAAGGTATCTCATCGAGTTGTATCGAGATCGTCCAGTGCCTCGGCTGACGGCAAATCCGTCTGAGACAAACCGTCGCAATGCAGATAAACTATTTCCCAGGCTAATATTCACACCATGTTATATTTTCTGAGTTCAATATGTAACAGGTAACTGAGAGCAGTAATCGCCAGTAATCGTACAGAAATCGCGTAGTAATCGTGCAACCTTTTCTGTAATACTGGCGCTGGAGCCGCGAGGACTTACCAAGAGAGTAAGCAAAAGTGTCACGGAAAAGGTAAGAAGTCGAGTGTAGGTGAATAATCGCAGCAGTTTGTCTTCGTCATTCAAATCTAGCCTGCAGGAATAGTTGAAATGTGAATTCATCGGCGTGGTACCGACCTGCGTACCTGATAATGGATCAAGTTCCTTTTGTGCGCGAGGTAACGACGAAGGGCAGATTTATTCTCGCAACTCTTGTTTGTTACATTACGAGGACTTTATTTGATCTTTCAGTTTTGTTTTCGCATCAACAACAGCTCGGCGCACGTATGTCTTTTCTTGTCACTTCTATCTCCATAGTATAGCATCGATGCTGTTCGGAATAGACGCTTCTTCACGCGGGCATGTAGATCTTCAAACGATTCGGGGTTTTGCAAGAGTGAGCAGTCGAGTCAGTCGGTCAAGCGTAAATTTTATTATAGCTTCGAAGACTATCATTAATAACACAACAGTTATGACAGTTATAAATAAAACTAATTTAAACACTAATTTAGAAGCAAAGTCAATAGCTATTCTGAGAATATACACATACTTGTTTTAGTAAATTAATTGCTATAATACATAGACTTTGATTATCAATATAGTATGCGTTTTGAGAAATAGATGTCTCACACATTTAATGCATCTTTTTCACTGAACCGATTTACGGCTCTTTGCTCTCCAGATTTTACGATTTCAACCAACTGGTATCTTTCTACAAAACACTGACAGCACTTGTCTCATCAAACCTGGTCAGCAAAAGCCTTTAATTACTGTGAATCTTATTACGCGGGAAAAGTTACGTAGTAGTAGCATATAGTCTGACATTTTAATACGAATTATTACATACATTTTTACAATTTTGTAGTCGCTAGGGAAATTCTGTCTTGGACGATTTGAGCATGGACAAGAAATAGTAGTTACTATTTATGTATGATTATTGGACATGACATCTTTCTGTGCTTGTAATCTAGCAATTAACACTTGTTGACTTAAATGGATTTCTGGTTCAAAATCACCAATATAATGTCAACTTTAATATATAATAGACATAGTTCGCTATGTCAACAACTCACTATCAAAGAGAAAATTATGTCAAGTTTAAACCAAATGCTCAATTTTGTTTAACTATATGAAAACCACTGTTGTATCAGGACGAGTTGCTTCTTCGCGTTATTTTAGCTGAAAATAGAAACTTGACTGTTCATGTAACCAACCATTTATATGAAATATATTGTAACAGATATCTTTGTAATTATTTAATAAACCTGTTATTTAATACTCTATAAATATTAAAACTTTCCAAGTGCAATATTATTTATTTTAACATTTAATATAAAAAATCTCACAATTCATCTTCAGCAAATACAATTTATTATCCAATTTACAACCCTTGTAACTTGTGCCAACATCAAAAGCTTTGTAACAAATTACTTCTTATCACCTTTATACAACTCAATCTTCTCTCTTATTTTTTCCTTTACTTCTGTCCCATTTTCATAAAAAGT